TTGATGAAGTTCGGAAATTGGTCCAAAGTAACCTGTCTGGCGGTCTGCACAGTTCCATCCGGGTGCACCAAGCTACTCACTGTGTACACCGCATGCCAGGTATAAAAGGACGCATAGGAGACCGGCTGGATCAGGGAGTGCCTCCCGTGCTGTCACAAGGCCAATATACCTCAAAGATGTAGAACTTGTGCCACTCACGATATGTGGAAGGTAGTCCCGGAGCCGGTCCCAAGGTGAAGTCAGCTACCGGTTGCCATGGACCCGGCATGTAGACCCATTCAGAAACGGAATCGCCAGGACCAGCAACTATGTCGTACTCGAAGTAGCGTGGGACAGGCCACCTCCCGGTTGTCGTCGAATTGAACATGATACGCGAACCAATGGCGGTCAAACAACTCCAGGAGCCATGAAACCGAGAAATCTGCGAGAGCATGAACATGCAAAACAACTCAAGACAAGGCAACGCAGCCGATGCTCAGACAGCGCCCAATAAGGAAACTCACCGTTCCATGCGTCTGAACAAACAACTGAACGTCAATGCCGTCGATGAAGTTGGGAAATTGGTCCAAGGTAACCTGGCTGGTGGTCTGCGCTGCCACGAGGCCAATATACCTCAAAGTGGTAGAACTTGTGCCACTCACGATGGGTGGAAGGTAGTCCCGGAGCTGGAAGTCAGCTACCGGTTGCCATGTAGACTCTAATCCATTCAGAAACGGAATCGCCAGGACCAGCAACCATGTCGTACTCGAAGTAGCGTGGGACAGGCCACCTCCTGTTTGTCGTCGAATTGAACATGATACGCGAACCAATGGCGGTGGCAACTCCAGGGGCTATGAAACCGAGAAATCGGGCGCAACAAGCTACTCACCGCGCACACCGCATGCCAGGTATAAAAGGACGCATAGGAGATCGGCTGGGTCAGGGAGTCCGCAGTGGTGCCTCCCGTGCTGTCACGAGGCCAATATACCTCAAAGTGGTAGAACTTGTGCCACTCACGATAGGTGGAAGGTAGTCGAATTGAACATGACACGCGAACCCATGGCGGTGAGACAACTCCAGGGACTATGAAACCGAGAAATCTGCGAGAGCATGAACATGCAAAACAACTCAAGACAAGGCCCAGCAGCCGATGCTCAGACAGCTGCGAGAGCATGAACATGCAAAACAACTCAAGACAAGTCAACGCAGCGAACGCTCAGACAGCGCCACATAAGGAAATTCACCGTTCCATGCGTCTGAACGAACAACTGAACGTCATTGCCATTGATGAAGTTGCGAAATTGGTCCAAATTATCCTGGCTGGTGGTCTGCACAGTTCCATCCGGGGGCAACCAGCTACTCACCGTGTGCACCGCGTGCCAGGTATTTGAGAAACACTCGCACTCAAAATTAAAAGGACGCATAGGAGACCGGCTGGGTCAGGGAGTCCGTAGTGGTGTTTCCCGTGCTGTCAATATACCTCAAAGTGGTAGAACTTGCGCCACTCATGATAGGCGAAAGGTAGTCCCGGAGCTGGTCCCATGGTGAAGTCAGCTACCTTGTCCATGGACCCGGCATGTAGACTCTAATCCATTCAGAAACGGAAACGCCAGACCAGCAACTATGTTGTACTCGAAGTTTGGCGTCGAACTGAACATGATACGCGAACCAATGGCGGTGAGACAACTCCAGGGGCTATGAAACCGAGAAATCTGCGACAGCATGAACATGCAAAACAACTCAAGACAAGTCAACGCAGCCGACGCATGCCGTCCGAGACGGTGACGTGCTTGTTGGAGTTGAACTGCCATGGCGTCGAGAGATTTGTTGCCATTGAGGCGGGAAGGGTGATTGGCCCACTTTATCAATGCCTGAGGAGTAGTGGTCGTAGGAGCCTGCTTGAGGAAGAGGCAAGGTTGATAACTGGACGAGGTGATATCAGTAGATTGGATGTGACCTGCTTGGTAGGCCGTGGTGACATGCCATGAAGAGATTGGATGATCCGTGGTTGTTGTTGAGGATGAACATCAAAGGACTGGTGGTCTGCACAGTTCAGTTCTGAAATGCCGCCGTGGATGACCTGCGCCAGGCGAACGTCACGAATGTCCATGCCCGACATCTCACGTTGCGTGTTGTGAGGAGTGTTGGCAACGGTCATGGGAAGTGTGAAGGAGTAGAGAGGATTCTTGTCCAGCGTGCCCTCACTGGGTTGCCACTTGCCATCCAGAGCGGCCGCACTCACCGTTGGCAAGGAACTCGTGGGAGTAGAGGACTGCGAGTGATTCACCGGCGGTGGTGTGACCAGCGCAGCATCGCCGTTGCGAGATTTGCGAGTCTCCGCATCGTCATTGCGGATGTTAGCCGTAGAAGGAGGTGACGATCGCTGTGATGCTGAGTACTGCGCTTGGAGTAGCTCTGCAGCGTGTCATCTTCCGGGGAGCGGGCTTTGATGGTTTGATGATGCTGATTCAGGAATTCCAGAATGAGATTGCCCAGGTGCTCATGAACCTTAATCCGCTGGTTGAAGTCATCGGTGTTGAGGCCCATCGAACCTGCAAGGCCCTTTTCCAAAGTGAGCAAGTTGAGGGGCTGGGATCGGCGAAGAAGCTTCGAGCAAGTATTCCAAAGCAGGGCCTCGGTGCGTGTACAAAACCCTTCCCACGTCACAAATCGTCCATGTCCAAACGGTCTCAGCAGCCAGTTCGAAATGCCGCCGTGGATGACCTGAACCAGGCGAACCATGCCCGACATCTCACGTTGCGTGTTGTGAGGAGTGTTGGCAACGGTCATGGGAAGTGTGAAGGAGTAGAGAGGATTCTTGTCCAGCAAGCCCTCACCAGGTTGCCACTCCTCCGGTGGGATGAGCCACGAATTCTTAGGCTGCACTGGTAACGGAGCCGGGTGGCTCGTTGCTGCCGCAGGTTCCGGGTGACGTCCTTGTGTGTTGTCAGGCAGCACCATTGTCGTCTTCATGTTCTTGGTGGGTTCGGGCTCCGGAGGGAACGGCATTCAGTAGTTAACCGGCGGGTACTGGTGGAAGCACGGCGCCGAATGATGGAACTGCGCCAACGGAGGAGGAGGAGGTTGAAGGTAGTTGGTCTGCGACTGCACCATAGAACTGGGAGGATTGATGTTCGGATTGTGCTGCCACATCATCGGGTTGGACCAATCCGTGCCGTCCGAGACCATGGTGGTGTCATATTCTCGTCTGCGAGCTTTGCGAGTCGGAGTAGGGCTCCTGTCCCGTCTACGTCGAGTTCTGGATCTGTCACGATCATCACGGCGGGACATGACGCCTCAGCGAACCCAGGTGATGGCACAAATCAACCTTGAGAAAGACTAAGACCGCGACAAGCTTCAATTTCATGACAACGCAAGATCATGTCAAGTTCATATCAACACAAGGCAAAGCATGAAAAGGTCAGCAAGCAGCACCCAGGCGCCCGTGAGACGTCACTATGATCTGGTGGCTGTCTTCCCTTTAGTGAAACCCTTGTTCCTGCTTAAACGTGAAATTCCGCTGGTCTATGATAAGAACGTTGAGGTCAAATTTTCCGGCGAACCGGCCCGGGGTCACACGATGGGTACACCCGAGGTTCCCCCAAGATGGGGTGATCACACTTGAACTCCCGAAGGAGGGTACTCATCAACGTGCTGAGTGGGTCTTCGAGTAATAGTTTCGGCTGGCAGGTCACTTGGCTTCCCTCTAAGAGCGAACACGTTACCCAAAAGAACAAGAAGAACAAACAGCGCCGCAACCAAGGGGCCAAATAGACTTTCAGAATCACTCAAATGTTGCAGGTACACAAGGCTGATCAGGCCTTGCTCATCACTGGAGGCCTTGCCCCCCTGCGAAAACAGCCAGAACCTAAAGGTGGTGGCAGGGTATTCTGCCACTCCGCACACACACACGCACACAAACACAAACACTGAAACACACACACACACCAACACAAACACAAACAATCAAAAAACATACCAACAAGCAAACAAGCAAACAAGCAAACAAGCAACCAAGCAACCAAGCAACCAAGCAACCAATCAATCAATCAATCAATCAATCAATCAATCAATCAATCAATCAATCAGCCAATCAATCAATCAATCAATCAATCAATCAATCAATCAATCAATCAATCAAACAAACAAACAAACAAACAAACAAACACACAAACAAACGCACACACACACGCACGCACGCACGCACGCACGCACGCACGCACGCACCCACACACACACACACACACACACACACACACACACACACACACACACACACACACACACACACACACACACACACACGCACACACGCACACACGCACACACGCACGCACACGCACACGCACACGCACACACACACACAACCTTCGGCGAGCGCGCAAACTCACGAACAGTTGACCGCTCAAGCCGGAGGCAACGCGAAATTTGATATCTCGTTTGGAAGCATGCAACGACAGTACAGATGCGCCAAAACGTGCTCTTTACTTGGTTGACGTTGGAAGGGGAGCAACCATTTAAATTTTCGCAGTTCAGTTGTGGGGATTTCCACCACTAAACCACAATAAGCAAAATGTAAAATGTTTCCTAACAACAACCATGTCCAATCCTATACTTCCTGGGAGCTTGAAGCGGCAAGCGGAATTTTACGCCTGACTTCGGCACATCTCCAGACTCCAAATAAGCACGGTGACCAGTATGTTGTGCTTCAAGATGCTTTAATGACACGATGCCTGCAGGGCTAGATTGGACATCCACCTGCATACAACAAATGCATCACATTCAGAGTTCGGCAGGGCGAAGAACCCAACTCTGCATTGGCAAGGTGATCTTTAAACTGGCAACAGAACTGGACTTTTCACCATGGAGGCTTCGCGAATCCTATCCGAAAGATCCCTAGAAAGAAACCACCACGAAAACCCCTTACGCAACTGAAGGGAAGGACTAAGGATTTAGTCAGAGGGAAAGCTAGGGACCCCTGAAAACCGTTGGAAATTGCAGCACGACTTCGAACGAGGCGCCGTGAGAACCTTTCTCGACAACCCGCCCGTCAGCATTCACCAAGATCACATCACCTAGGTCCCGCGCCGGCTCGCCCCTTAGGAGTGTGGGATCAACCATTTTCCAGCAGTTGATGTGCTAGTTTGGGCCGCAATGTTGTTTTTGTCCATAGGTGTCCTGTTTAGGGTAAATAGATGACCCTGGAAGATGATTAAACCACCAGGTAAACCAGGGCCATCTATTTTTCTACCAAAACAACAAAAAGGGACACCTATGGTTTTGTCTCTTTTCAGGTTGGATCCCCTTTTCCTCTTGGCTTTCCCCTCGGCATCAAACCTGCATGTTGAATCTGGGTTCCAAGTCTTGAAGCTCACATCAAGGACGCCTGTTCTGGGACCAGCTTGGCCTACATCTCAGAGGAAACCATGGGAAACCCACATTTTGCATCCCATGCATTTGTCCAAGGCAGTCAAAAAAGGACGACATACCCTGAGATGTATTGTTCAATCTCGAGGCAAGGACCAAAAGGCTATCAAGGAGCACCCAATGGGGGTGGTTCCTCTGGCTCCCCTGCTCGAGCTTGCCCATCGCCTTTTGGTCGCAGCCACGTGGCAGCTTTGAACGGTTGAAAGGCGATGGGCAATGGCAAAGGAGGTGCGACCTTCGCGTGCGGCCTCCAGCGCTTTCCTGAGACGCCCCGAGACCCGGGCAATACCAATCGCAATCGGATTCGAGAGATGGAATCGCAATCCCCATGGCGAAGTTTTCTTTGTAGTCCCTTTTGATTCATTGGACCAGCAAAATCTATCTTAGAGTACTTTCTGGCACAATTTGCAACTCTCAAATCCAAGTTCCTGTGAAGGGTCTGCTGTCATTTCCAGACAAATGAATAAACCGGCTTGTTTAACAGGAGGGTGTTCCCCTCCAAGTGATGAGCCCCCACCAAAATGGGACACCCCCTCTATGCACCAACCAGGCAGTGACATTGGACACAACCCGTCTCATCTCCAAAATTACCTTGATCTTCCAGGACCCTGGAAAACCAACCTTTGGGGTCCAAGATCAAAATCAAGAAGGACCCTGGTTTTGCGGGTCCCACGGGAAGACCAAGGTTATGATGCTTACCAAAAGTGAAATGGGTGTCGCTATCACCTTCAGCGCGCACTATGATCATATCGAGAAATCTCCCCGGGACCGTACCACGTAAAAACAAGTGCTGGAGTTGCAGAACGCATCCTGACAAACAAATCCAGACATCAAGCCCTGGACACCGGAAAAAAAGTAACCCAGCTTCTTGTATGCCACGAAAATTGTCTTCCCAAAAAGTCGATAGCCCATGAACTCATCATGGACCCCAGCGGAGGCTATGGCGGCTATCCCTGAAAAAGCCCAGGATAAGCCCTTACTAAGGCCTTAAGGGCTTCATTATCAAAACCTGGTACAAACATGGTCTACCCAGAACCATGTAAAGAATAAAGAAGGCGGATATCTGCACCCATTTCTGGCAAGGGGATGATCCCTTACCAACCTTCATCTTCCCGAATCCGTTTTTCAGCAAATGGCTGTGGTTGTCAAGAAAGGGCACCCCCAAAAGGCCGACCTTTTTTTCGGGGATGTTTTTCCAGCGCTTTTGGGATTTTTTATCCGTTCTATTTTCCGGTCACCTTTGGAGTTGTTTAAGGTGGGTCTAGGGCGCGCTTAGGGTTTAGGGTGGTCGGGGGTTCGGGGTGGGCCTGGTTTAGGGTGGGTTTGGCACGGGTTTGGTTATGGAGCTTGGGTTGGCGCAAGGTTGGTTTAGTTCAGGATTCAGGTGGGTGTAAGGTGGGTTTAGTGTGGTTCTGGTAGTTTACGGTGGGGTTCAGTGTTGGTTGGGTTTGCGGGGTTCAAGGTCGGTTGGTCCTAGGCTTCGGGTAGGCTTAGGGTAGGCTTAGGGTAAGCTTCGGGTAGGCTTCGGGTAGGTTTAGGTTGGGATTAGTTGGGTAAGTTTAGCATGGGTTGGGGGTGGGCAGGTTATTGGTGGTTATTGGTTTAGGGTAGGATGGGTTTAGGGATGCGTTCAGGGTTGCCGCCATCCAGGACGTCCTTGGTGCATGAACCGCCAAGGATACTTGGCGGATGCCATAGCGAAACTGGACAGGAGAATGAAAGCAAGCTGAGTGACAGGCATTTAGGCTCTTGTAGGGTGGTTTAGGGTGTTCAGAGTCGGTTTAGGGCGGGTTTTGGTTTTGGCTTCTGGGGTGGGTTCAGGTTCAGGGTGCGTTGGGGGGGTTGGGTTAGGGTGTTCGTTCAGGCTTGGTTTAAGTTAGGTTCGGGGTGGTTGTAGGATGGTTTTAGGGTGGGCTTAGGGGTTCAGAGTTGTGGGTTTAGGGTGGCGTGCGCGTGTGTAGGTGGGTTTATGGGTAGGGTTAGAGTTGGCTTAAGGCCGGTCTAGGGTGCGTTTGCAGTTGCTTTAGGTGGGTCGCTTTCAGATTGGTCTAAGGTGGGTTCAGATGGAGTTTGGTTGGTTGGGTTTGTTGAGTCGGTTGAGTTGAGATAAAGGCCGGTTTAGTGAGGTTTCGGATCGGGTATTTAAGGTGTGCATTTTTAGGGTTCAAGGCACGTTTGGTACGTCTAGGGTGGTTTAGGGTAGGTTAAGGGTAGATTTGGGGCGCGTCTAGGGGGCAGGTGTAGGGTAGGTGGTTTTGTGTTTAAAGTTTACCGGGAGGGTTCGGGGTGCTTCATTGCTTGCTTGCTTGCTTGCTCGCTTGCTTGCGTGCTTGTGCTTGTGCTTGTGCTTGTGCTTGTGCTTGCTTGTGCTTGTTTGTGCTTGCTTGCTTGTGCTTGCTTGCTTGCTTGCTTGCTTGCTTGCTTGCTTGCTTGCTTGCTTGCTTGCTGGCTGGCTGGCTGGCTTGCTTGTTTGCCCGCACAACTGGAAAAAACCAATCCAGCACCCCCCCCAAAAGAAATGGGTTGCTCTTGTTCGAAATGGTTCTGGACTAAACGTTGTAGTCCAATTTTATAATTTAACTTTGACCATACACATACTGTGAGCATTTGAGGTGATGGATCTCTTCATCTTCACGGCTGGAGTGTTTCTGTGAAGCATACATGGCTAGGTCCTCCATCAGAGAGGTTAGAATAAGGGTACCAACTTTATTCTGTAGTACCTTGATGGGGAATTAATTGGCCATGGGGCAAAATCCAAATTGTACCTGTGAGCATCCCAATCCAGCCACTAAAATAGGTTCTAAAATGGGTGGTGAATTCACCTAACCCAAAATGGGATCCCATTGGTTTTGACCCAGAGCCAATTTCTTGGTGTAACTTCGACCCACAGAGATAGACGGCCGCTGCAGAGAGAGAGAGCCCAGTGGCTGGACGATGGCCTCGCTCTGGGTGTCCAAGGCACTGGTGGCCTGGCTCGGCATTTTATTTTACCAAATGTTGGGGAGGCTTTAGTGGGAAACCCAAATATTTGTGGGTGAACCCTACCAAAAAAAAACTGACAAATCACAAGCTGGAAAACCAAAACGCCTTCACTGTCATACATGCAACATATACATATATATATATATATATGTTACATATATATATATATATATCATTTTTGGCGGCCAGTGCACCCATATCCTCCGCGACTTGAAATCACTCAGAGCATTGTGCACGGTTCCCGGACACATTGATCCCTGGCTTGGGAAAAACCGTTTCAGGAAATCTGTGGGCCACTTTCAATCGGCTAGGGGTTCATTGATTTTGGACCGAGAACGTGGTCTAACCTTGTCAGGAAGCCTGGGGTCGCTTGGCTCACTGCGGAACGGTTCATACATCGAGTCTATGACCCTACGGGCCATATTAAGAAAGGCGATCGCGATGCGAAGATTTCCCGCGATATCCCGCGATACTGTATCAAACAGCAGCCACCCAAAATGTTCCTGATGTGGGGAGGGCGCAGGAGGGAGCAAACCCTAATGGGCATCCTTTGCAGGAACCCATGGGAACAATCATGAACAATCACCTATGCTAACGTACTCAGTGACGAACCCCGCAACCTCGGTGCTGAATCGGTGTAATACATGTCAAATTGCAGTACTGTAAAGCTGCTCAATCAATCAGCAGTTGCTGCATCGGATTGGCAACCTTTCTGGGTCCCCTATTTTCTGGGCTGTCCACAGATCCCCTTCTAAAAGTCGACAACTTGTGGGTTAAATGATGTTAAATGGGAACCTAACCACTAATTAAACCAACTCAAAAAGCTAAATGAAGCAAAGGAACCGGATGGCTGGGAGCCAAGAAACAGGGATCCATTTCCCGGTTGCCCAAAGGACCTGGTTAGGTGACCACCTTTGGGGCAAATGACTAAAAATGCACCAAATCAGGGAAACCCAAAATCTTAAAAGGTAGATTCGCTTTGGACCAGCAAAATTTCTAGGCTGTCCTCAGATCCCCCGCTAAACGTCGACAACCTTTTGTGGGTTGAATGATGCTAAATGGAAGCCCAACTAAAAGGCTAAACAAAACCAAAGGCCGGCCAACCACTAAGCCTACTAAAAACAAGACAGAAAGAAAGGCAAAGGAACCAAGTTTTGACGGATGGCGGGGAAGGAGCCAAGTTTTCACTCCCATCGCTCCTCGTCCAGCAGCATCACCTTGGGGTCGCGGATCAGCGCGCGGCAGATGGCCACCCGCTGCTTCTGGCCCCCGCTGAGGCGGCTTCCCCGGGGGCCCACCTCTGTGGCGAGGCCTGACGCTTAGGCGCGAGGCGAGAGGTTATATGGCCGTGGCTCAAAAATTGGTACCAAACATGGCACCTTGTATGGAAACAAAGACTAAATCCTGCGTAACTCTAGCACTTTGCTTTTGAGCCACCCCCATATCTTTATGAGACGAGACCCTCAGAGCGTGGATTCCTTCCAAAGTTCCATCTCGGCCATAAGGACACTGGCAAAGGGCACCTAGAGGCTTGGTTGCTGCTGCAACGACCCCTCTGCACAAACTTAGACGTTTTGTGGGTCTAATCGGGAGAACCTGCTGTTTCCCAAAAAGTTAAAGTCCAAAGATGCAACCATCAAGAAGGGATCCCTTGCGACTTAGGGAAAAGCCGGGGTGAGTGACCACCAACGGGTCCTAACGGGGAGCAGGCGACCAACGAGACGCTGATGGGACTGGGCTATGAACCAAGTCTTGTCACTCGGAGAAGGCCATGGCCAGTATGAGCGAATGACAGGCCAAGAACAGGCCAAGCGCAATCGATGGAAATCCAACGAAAAGGCCGCTCAGTTTGACAATACTAGCAATCCGTTGGCAGGATCTGGTCAAACAAGATGAGGCAGACAAACGTGGAAAGAAAGCAAAACAGAAAAAGAGAAAGGAACAAACAAGGAACGAGGGAAGGAATAAATGAAGAAAAGAAGACATTGAAGAAAGGAAGAAAGAGAGAAAGACACAAAGCAAAAAAGAAAGCAAGAAACCAAGAAAGATATAGAGACATAAATACATAAATAACGAAGGAAATAAAGAACGAAATACAGAGATAATGATGATAGAACAGCATAAATAAACAAAGAGCAAAATACAGAAGAAAAACAGAGAAAAACATAACAAAAGAAACGAATAAAGACAGAAACACATCAAGGAAAAACAAATAAATAACAACAAATAAAGAAGTAAGCAAATAAAGACACAACGACAGAACTAGACAAGTTGACAAACTCAGACCGCGCATTTTGTTAAGTGCTTTTTCCTGAGTTCGCTCACCAAACAGTTCGTCTTCATTGCGTGATGGTTATGTCTCCTTTTCTGTCTTGAAACCTTTGGATCATTGGGCTGGGCCGAGCCTTGGTTCTGGTTCTTGTAGAGGAAGCCCAGGTTGCACATCTTCTCGCAGGTCTTGATGTACTCTTCAGAGACGGTCTCATTCTCATCCAAGCCATAGAGGATGTTGTTCCGCACGGTTGTGTTGAACAGGATTGGCTCTTGTCCCACAAAGCCTCGGATGAGGCTCACGCCCACAGAATCTGCAAAGGGCCCAACAAAAGGTGCAACACAATCAAGCGCCACATGACTTCAAGCTTTTCTCACATCTTTTCCAGCCTCATACCAAAGCCACGCGGAATGTCACAATCAGAAACTGCCGGAAACCAGCCCTACAAAACCAGTGCAACCAGCATTGATCAATATCACTTGTTTGCTCGCAGCAGACCAATGAAATTAAAGATCCCTACAAACCAAACAAAACAATGGAACAGAAACCAAACCAAACAAACGACACCAAAGTTAACCAAACCAACATCTGCAAAGCCTTCCCTCTAATCCATCGTGTGAATCAGTTCAGCCTTAAGGGATGACGCAGAGGAATGCAACCTATCTCTGAAAAGGGCATGATGCAGCCCAAGGAATGTGACCCGAATTTAGTATGCTGGGGCACGCTCTTTAGCTTGAACATCATCCGGTCGCTACCCGCGAAAGATTGGCCCAAAACCCGAACTTGAACCGACGTAACGGGTCCAAACAAGTTTGAATCATTCGTTCAGAACGTGTTGGAGTAAACCATGCTGGATGGGTAATGGGAAACCCAAAGGAACGGGGTTGTGAGGCGGCAGTGCGCGATAGACGGGTTGGCCCGATTTGTTTGCATAAGCTCTCCGCACACTTTGGAGCACCTTGGAACACCTACTGGGACAAGCCTTCCTTGAAAACGCTCTTACTCGACCAGGGGGCTGCTTGTTTTTGTTCCACCAGTGGACAACACAAACCGTGGAACCTTCTGCCTCGCACGGATCATCATCTATATGTGATGTCCTGCTGTGTGGCTCGTGCACGGCGTACATGCGTGCGCTCGTGCACGCGCGAATGCCACACTGACACCAAAAACACACATAAAGGCTCGTTGAATATAGAATGTACATGCGTTCCAAACTTGCCAGGACTTCCAA